ATTACGTCTCTTTACACTGTCATTCCTAATGGCGAAGGCCTTCTGGCCCTTAAACATTTTTTTGATCAACGTACTGTTAAGGAACCTAAATCTGAAACACTACTACGCTTAGCCGAACTAGTGCTCACACTCAATTGTTTTTCATTCGGAAACAACTTCTTCAAACAAACCAATGGTGTAGCCATGGGCACCAAAATGGGACCTAGCTATGCCAATCTTTTTGTAGGTTTTGTCGAACATCAATTTTTCAGCCAATACAACGGGTCCAAACCTGAACTCTACGGTCGCTACATCGACGACTGTATCGGCGCTACCTCCTCTACCAGAGAGGAGCTCACTCAATTCATAACCGCAGTCAATTCTTTTCACCCGGCTCTGAAATATACCTGGGAAATTTCTGACAATTCTTTATCCTTTTTAGACATCAAAGTTTCAATTGAAGGTAACGGTTTATGCACTAGTGTGTATTACAAACCTACAGACTCGCATAATTACTTGTTATATTCGTCTTCGCATCCATCTCACGTTAAGAATTCCATTCCTTTTTCTCAGTTTCTAAGACTTCGTCGTTTATGTAGTGATGACTCTGATTTCCACCACAAATCAGAGTCAATGTGCCAGTTTTTCGATAAACGTGGTTACCCTGTTTCTGTCGTTCAAGCGGGTTACCACCGCGCCCAACTTATTGATCGACATTCAGCACTACAAACGTCGCATAAGGAAGATTCCGACCGCATTCCATTCACTCTCACGTTTCACCCTCACAACCACTCAGTTAAATCCATCATTCTTAAAAACTTTAAATTACTTCAAAACGATCCAGAGACAAGCACTATCTTTTCGCAGCCTCCGCTCATTTCATTCAAACGCGACAAAAACATAGGCAATTTTTTGGTCAGAAGTTCTTTTCAGACTAATGACCAACCAGGCACTTTTAAATGCGCTCGTGCACGATGCAAAACGTGTCCTTTCATTCACAACACTGAGAAAATATCGGGACCCAAACGATCCATTAAGATCACCGATCACTTCACGTGCACCTCCGCCAATGTAATCTATTGCATAACTTGCACTTATTGCAAAAAGATTTACATCGGCGAAACAGGCAGAAGACTAGGTGACCGATTCCGAGAACACCTTCGCGACGTGGAGAGGAATGACAAGGACACATCGAAACCAGTCGCTAGACATTTTAATTTACCTAATCATTCTAAGCAACACATGGCAATCTGCGGTCTTTCCTTACACTTACGTGCTGTCGATTCTCAACAGAGAATCAACAGTAGGCTGCGCCTTGTGAGCACAAAATTTTGACCATTGTGATGACGAATATCGTTGACATAACAGTACGGACCACGCTAAACCACTGTTGATTTGTTAAATCAATAGCAACAACAATAATATCAACAAAAAAGGTTAGCATTTATCTCTCTTTTTTTATTTACAGACCGAATTAGACTACAGTATGAACAAGTACTATGCGCAAACCTTACAAGACAGTAGGTTAAACTGATTACACGGAGCTTCCACTCAAATAAAAACAAATAGCAGTCTGCACTTTATCCCTCGTTAAACTAAGATAAGAGTATAAAAAGGAGAAAATAAAAACAGAAAGTCTTCTTTCTATAAGGTCAGTTTGGTTAGTCTACTGGATACCAGCGTGAACTGTGTATGGATGATTATTTTCCTATTGATTAATCTTAGATATAGTAATGAAATTAATTGAACGATAATAATATTAAAATAATTGTAACGGTGATGATAATAGGAAAAAAACTTCATCTCAAAGTCAAGAGAATATTGCATAAAGTTGAGAACAATTGATAAAACACGATTTTCATCATTTCTTGATAATATAGACACGGATCATAGACACACATAACCGGTGAAGAACGATACGGAACAGCGCATGCGCCTCTATCCGTTCATAAACTAGATCTGTAGCAATGCTCAGAAATAGACTAATTATTTAGGAAAATAAGGCACTATTGAAATGATTTGTGAATGTAGTTGTGTTCTTTTTTTAAAAGTATTTTTATTTGATCACGTGACAGTCAGTGTTGTTGGTGGCTTGTTTCGCACTGTAGCTATCAAAGCTCCAGGCTTTCTCTTCTTTTGCTGTCTTCCTCAGGCCGTTAAGTGCATGCGCCATTCAGTTTGCATCTTAGCATTGTAGTAAAGTACAGAGTCGGGATGTTCCATCAACAACTCTAACTGAAGCCGATCAAACTTCTCTTGTTTATCTTCGGGAACTTGCCCTTCTCGGCCACCCTTCGGTTCATCACCGGCTCCAAGGAACGACTCGGAATACCAATTGTCAAACTCGGTTACGAGACGATGCCTACATTGATTGACCAGCTTCTCGCAGTAGATAACTTCGGATTTAGTGTTGAGCAGGTCTTCGAAGTCACGCCGATAGCGTAACTTTAGATCTTTTGCTTTAAAGACAAGTTCATACTCATTATCATCAATAATGACTTGACCGTCGTTCTCTGGTGTCGTTGATTTCTTCCATAAGACTGTTGACTGACGAGAACAGTTCCTTGGCCTTTCTCTTTTTCTCACACAAAATTTCTACAAGGAATAAGCAATTATTAGGTACTTATAATCTGCAGTAGCACATACGGAGACTGGTATGGTTTATCCGAAGGTTCTACTAGATTCTCCTGGTTAAAGACAAAAGCTTACAACTGAAAAGAAAAAAAAAAACAGAAACGAATGAAATCGGATACTTTTCATTGTGGATACGTCCAACGCTACTGCCTCACTTTCAACTACAAAAGCCAATCGTAACGACACTTTAAACTTCTAAAGTCGTGATATGAATCAGTCCCCGAAGTTTATTGATAGCTCCAGGAAAGCACCAGGGCCTGAGGTTGAAAGTTCGCCGTATCCTCATTCCGATATCAGTTGGGTTCGTGAGACTGAAATATTGAAGTCAACTTGTAACTGACCCCACCCTCTCTTCCAACCATATCAAAGTGCGAGTGGTGCTACATAAAAGGGTCATTCAACATTGCCGTCCCGGTGTAAGAGATATAAAGGCTTTGCCTTAACTAATGGTACTGTTAAAAAATAACCAGGAAAACCATAAGGAAAGTTAGGCTTTGTGATACGACACTGAAACCTTTGTTGATGAAAAATGCGTGGGAATCAGGAATGCCAGCTGTGGCCCATGCTTAATTGTCGAATCTAACGTTCAAATCTAATGATTCCTGTCGTTATTTCAAGGTTATTTTTTTGTTCTCCGATTTCTTACCCTACTAAAAGCTAATGATTTAAGATCAGTAATTCGACCTGGAATCAGTAAACAAGCCGCCACTTTCTGCCCAGCATTCATCGCAAATTCCAACCCATTGCATCTTACTCAGAATCCCCGGTTCTGTTACACCCCACCAAGAATACCACTAACCTTTATTTTGATTGAGGATCCTGTTAATTTCACTGCCTCTTTCCTGTTTGATTTCCTCAAAAGCTTCGCTTTTGGGTGAAGGGGTGGCCACGCACTGTGTAGGAGACTGAGCTGAAGGTGATTGCCCTCGATCTTGCCCATCGCTTCCGGCTTGACCATCAATTTGCCCTCCACTTCCCCGTGCGGGAGACTTTGCGCTGTCTCTCCCTTTAGCTTTTCCCCGACTCTTCACCTTTCTGGTGCTTACCAAGGAGGCAACGTTGGGTTTTACGCCAGGAGAAGCTACACCTACACCAAATCCTTGGGCGTCGACTTCTCCAACCAATCCGCTCTCATCGCCTTGGACAGTGCCTTGCTTACCTGCCCTGGCTACAGAGTAAAAACAAATGTTCATTGTTCTATTTAAGACTGTACCGATGTTACGCGCGAAAAACCCAAATTCCGCGTGAAAAGAGATGTTACTCCTTGCTAAAAGATAGATAATGGCGGTTGAATTGTACAAGCTCCGAAAAAAATCTAATTGGTTCCTATTAGAAAATTTCAACTCCTTGGCGATCGAGAATGCAATTTCAAAAATAGTTTTCCAACCAACGGAAGAAAAAAATACGTATAAAAAATTTTACTAGCTTTCGAGGAACCGATAGTTAAAAGTACAACCAAAGTATAACAGCCAATAACCAAGAAGCATTGAAAGAATGCGACAGATCATGAAATAGATGCTGTCAGTTTGTGACGCAAAGTTTACCGTCAAAAAAACGACTTAAAATAATAATAATATAATAATAAAATAGTTCAAAGCACAAATGCACCTTCATGACCAGGACGGGGGGATACTTTCTGGTACTTCCTGGGGATGTGCCGCTGGATGGGGTCTCATTTTTACGACTGGATTGACTATAGTTGGGTTGTATCATAATTAGATTTATTAGAATGGAGTCGCATATTTTTTGGGGGGATTTTACGGATAAAAAAATTCTTGTAAGTAGGGATTTGAAAAAAAAATTAGAAGATTCGCGGTTAAAAAGGTGTTTCATTTACCCAAAAGTGACCGAGTTGGGTTCTATAATTGACCACAGAATAGACTAAAACGGTAATGGGGTTCTGAGAGGCCGGGCACAATTCCCAGCAAAAATGGTCTAAGTATCACCCCCCCTCCCCCCCCTCGATCCGACTCCCTGGACTGCATGAATATAACTCACCGGAAGTTGCTCCATCTCTCTCCTATAAAAGAGACTTAACTCATGTGCATTCCCTAAATACAAGAATAGAAGGGATTTATAGGTTAAGCATTACCTCTTGTTTCAAAGTATAAACGTTGCTTCCCCTTTATGATTATTATTCCCCCTTTTACGAGCTGCTATCTCCTACCAGCTATTTTTATGTATTTTTTTTTTTTTAATCTGAACGATAGAAATAAACACGGGGGATAATGCAGAATATAAAAACTATCCTGCAAGACTTGTTTTATATTCACCTTGACTATGATTTACAAGACCTTTCCCTGAGAGACAAAGAACCGCTTCATTCTGATAAAGAAGAAAAAAAAGATTGAAATAAACTTTCACTTTCTAGTTTACATATGTCAGATAAAAGTAGCTCCTCCCAAGTCCGCTCGTCACCATTTTTGTGCCAACAGTGTACGGAGGAAAAAACGTTGCCTACCAGACAATGAGTCTTGAAATCGCATGAGGCACTCGATGATCCTTCATCTGCACATGTCGTGAAGGTTACTGAAATACCGCTGGAAATTGCAGCACTGAAGAGCGCTTTCAGGATTATCTTCGTCATCTTGAATAATTTTGCCTGAGACATTAAGGTATAAAATTAAAAGAAGCGAAAACAGAAGCAGATATTAAGCAGAAGCAGTTTCAAATCAACTACGAAAAAAAAAAAAATAGGAAAAAAACAGTATACTGTTTTCAGGTTTTGCTATTTCGGAAGTTTTCCTTTAAACTTTTGAACGTAATTTTTCCTTGAATAACCCATCACGATGTTAGCAATTGATTCTTAAAAAAGAAAATTTGAACATTTTTACTTTAACTGCCATTTTAAGATCGCGAGTCTATGATGTTGTTAAAAATATGATGATAATTCTTATTTTAAAGAAAAATTAAGATCTGCGAGCTAGAAATCAGAATCCACACGCACTGTGAAGATACAATAATATGGTAAACCTTTGTTTTTGCCTCGTTCGTTGGACGGTTTTGACACAAACATGGACAGCCCCTTAGTGACTCAGACAAACGTACCAAATGAGTCTCCACTGTGGTTTTTTATTTTTTTCTGTTGTTAATAAGCGTTTTGGAGGCGATGGAGTATTACGGTTCGTATTTGTCTCGAGACCTACTTCCTTGCTCCAGCTCCTTCTTAAAGAGATGAAGAACTGAAAAGATCACGGTCATGGCTTCTGTGCTTAATTCTTGAGTGTAAATTGAGCCTAAAATCTGCTTCATACAGTCAGTTGATACAGTCGCACCAGAACTAAAAGACAAACTATCCTTTTTTTCTTCTGTATGAAATGGTAAGTTACTAAATACACTAAAGCAGTTTGGAGCAATAGGTATATAGATTTTTAGTTTTGCCTCGTTCTTAAAGGTAATATACAAGGCGCAAGAATAGCGTATTCGCAGTGAAATTTGACCATGCCAGGTCATTTTACTTTTTTTCTTTTTACTACGGTGAGTTGCATTTCTATCTTTTCAACTCAAAGCTCACTTCGGTGAAACACAGATAGAAGAAGGAAATTTTAAAAACTCAAGGCACATACCAAAAGGCCAAAGGTTCAGTGTTTGCCCAATTCCAACTGAGTCTGGTATCAAATGAACACAATCATGATTTTAGTTAAAAAACATGGCAGCCGCTGAATAAATTATTCTTAAAATGACTTAAAAGTAAATTTATCTATTTTGACGTGGTTGATAGAGTCTCAAATAGTTTGTGAAAAAGCTGTTAAGAGTTATTCCATACTGTCAATGGACCGTCACATAAACAAGACTGAAAATACCTTTTCTTCTTAGTACAGACTAGCCATTCTCTGGTCATTTTAAAGGAAATCAAATTCGGTATTCATTTTTCAATTTTTCAAACTCTAAAGTTTTATTGAATGAAAATTGATTGAAAAGGAATCCAGGCTGTTGACATAGTTGACTTGGCAATCAAATCTCTAATCAGCATCATTAAAATATGACATGTTTGGATGTGCAGGCGAATGTTCACGTGGGAACTGGAACACAGGGTATATCTATTCATGCCATGTTCAAGTAAAGAAGCTGAAATGTATTAAATGCACCTTTTCAGAATTAATTCCGATGATATCTCCTTGATGTATTAAATACCACTGAAGGGAACTGAGGTTAGGAAAGATCATAACTAAAGCCATTTTGTCCAACAGTAGGGTGCATTTTGAGGGCTAGATTAGATATTTTTGGCTGGTTAAAATGTACTTTTCCCGCTTGCCAAAATGTTTAATTTCCGAAGATAAACGCTTATCATGTACAGAAAATGTAAAAACGACTATATTGCAAAGTAGTGTCGTAGTGTTTATTGACTGCAAAAAAAAATAGGAATGGTGATCATCCATGGAATATTGTATTAACCCGCTTTGTTCGTGCTTGTTATAGCACTATCAATGTTTTAATATTCTTAATGGCATCTTCAGTGTCATGGACTTGAATTCAATAGTTCATTTGTTTCGCCTTGCGAAGAATGGCGGATATGGCTTCATAAAAAGTTTAGACTTATAAATCTGCGAGTATGCGTTGGGTAGACATGATTACTATTGGCTCTTGCGAAACACCGTTTCCTTCTCGTTGGAGGTGAGCCGCTATGACATGGAACAGCCCACGCGGCTTGTTGAGGATTCCAACCTCCTAACCGTTTATTATAAATACTGAACAAATGTTAACCGCTTTATTAACATCATCAAGCGACCAATACTGCGCACTTAAACTTTGACAAAACTCACATCCTTAGGTGTTGAGCCGAATCTTTTCACAGTGACGGACGGGGTACTTTGGACGAAAATTTCGATACGGCATAAAAGGTAAGGAAAGAAATTGTGATAAAGAGAGGTTTAGGCTTAAGATGCAAATTCTGATACCATCTGAACTTAGGATTGCTAACAGTTAGTGTGTGTAATTCCCCAAGCAAATGGCCGATTCACCGATTTCCGTGAGTCTCAATCTCACCGATATTTCTGTAAGTAATCCATGTGTGAAATTTCCTCAAATTATTGGGTGAGCTTTGCTTTAATGATGCTAGATTGACCCTTCCAGATCACAATTCTGGGTAAGAATTTCTATTACGCCTACACGTTTCGTGCGTATGATTAAAGTTAATTTACCCAAAATAGTCAAGTTTCATTTCTTCCTTTCAGTATAACTTTAGCAGATGAGAATGTTGAACAAAGTGGATGAATATATTTGCTAAAATGGCTAAATAAATTTGATCAAGCTCTTCTAGAAGTTACTGGCATATATAGCCTTTAAAAATGTAGTTATTGGGTTAGCTAGCTTAAATACAGAACGAGTTACGATTTGTAACACGGCAATTGTTATAAGGTTTTCTCTTCGTTGGTCCTGTTGACATTTGCGGAGAATTGTTTATACTCTGACGAGGAATCAAAAGAAGCAGTTAGTTTGTTCGATTAAGTGGTGAATGTATGCCTTTTCCTAACATGGCGAAGAACGAATTAGATTGGTTGTTATTTGGGAGTGATTCTTGGATCAGCAAAGGCCATCATTATCACTCTCACGTCGCCCACGTTCAAAAATATAAGACCTCCCTGGGCGCGAATTCTATGGGGGAACAACGTTTCTTTTTCACACACCGTCATACAAATAATCTGTCTGCAATGTCGGAAACCTGGAGACGCCCCCACGCGAGAACAATTTCTTTACCTGTGAAACCAGATATTTCGTTTTGTTTATACAGTGACAGTTGATTGATTAAATTAGTGATTCTCATATTACCTATATATAAAGAAGCGACTACACATTAGACACACAATAAACGAGTTGGAATTACGCCTACGCTTGGTTTATTACATGCAACAACCCAGAGCCATTTTATACGTTGTTTAAGCAGGTAAAAAGTGATTTTTGAGAATTTTCCTTCCTACTCTTCAGTGATACAGTGTTCTTGTTGATCAACATGAAGATTGTCTCGCGACCAAGCAGTTCTGTTAATGACTTCCTAAAATTTAGCATAGAGTTATAAAATAACACTTTACAGTCTATTTGATGACCGGATTTCTCGTCGAGGCTTTATGGTAATTGATGTGGATTATCCCACTTCACTCATTCTGATTTTACCTTCCACACAGGAGAGACGTCGAAGATTTTGGTGGTGCTTCTTCTCGTCTGCCTGGTATCTCTACAAAGCAGTGCGGTACGATATTCGATAAACAATGATAAATGCATGGCAAAAACAATAATCTTCAGCCCTGTTAGTTTACTATTGGAAAACATCTCCGGCTGGCGAAATTTGCCTTTTCATATTATTTTATATGATGTCAGTTTTACCGTCATTACTTGGACCTTATTGACAACTGTCGATTTTGTAAGCTTAATTTATCGCGAATGTAAGATCGGGAGGCATAAAGGAAGGGAAATCATCCTTGGTTCGTTTGAATTTTTGAGATAAATTGACTTTACCAATTTCTTTTCTTCACAGAGTTAGGCCTTACGGTAAGTAATGACATTCCTTTACATTACCTGTTTTAGTTGATTTGGTCAGTCCTCATAATTTAAAAAAAACTAATAGCATCCAGTGGTTATATTGTTATTCAAAGTGCTTCATAATCCAAACTAATTGAATGAAGACCATGAAGTTCGAATCCATATCACTGCGGGTAAAGTGAATCCCTTTTCTCTCTCTAGGCCTTAGCACATATATTCCTTTAATTAAGGAACGCTTTTGTCCTTAGATGACAATTTCTTTTTTTCAAGTAATAACTGAGAACAACATTGTAAAAAATGGAAATTTTATAGAAGTCCAAAACGTTGCATTACATTATGTTAACTGAAAGACTAAATTACGTAACAAAAGAAGTCAAGATATCTATCCAATAAAATTTGGAATTGTCTTGTTTGTGTATATATATATATATAGCTTACATTGGAAATTTATGGGATGAGGTGAAACCTCAGAATTCAAACGGGATTAGAAAAGTCTGCCCTTCCTGCCGGATCGGAACCCTATCGAAAAAAAAAAAAAAACAACAACAACAATAAGAAATGTATCCATGTTTTTATAGGTTCCTTAGCTCTTTAAAAATATACAAAGTTTTTCAGAGCATTATTTCTTTTCTGCAGTGACACCTTGGTGTAAGAGATGCCTAAAGCAAGCTGAATGTAAAGTCGATCCATGTGCTTTTACCACGTGCCTTCGTGGTTCAAAGTGCTGCCGCTGTAGCTGCAAGAGAGCCATATGCAAGTCAGCTTACAAGGGCTGATAGTTCAAGATTTGCTTGCCAAACGTTTTGAATGACTTTTAATAACCATGAGCAACGCCTTATTGCTAAACGTTTAACTGAATCTTGTAAATTATACCTGGCTTTCATGAAACAATCATCAGATAATTTGGGCAATTGAAGTCGGTGTTAAAAATAAATAAATAAATAAATAAATAAATAAATAATGAAAACAAAGGAAATGAAGTACAACGTGGTTTAAGAATAAAAAGTGAACTTTATTGAAAACAGAAAGGCAGAAACACTCTAATAAAATCTGAACTTCATCATCAATATTCCTTTTGTTGTGGCAACAACTGCTAACAGTTTGTCGGAAATAATTCTGATACTGCGCTATTGGTGTAAGATAGACAATTAAAATTTTGTGAGTTACCAGTGTCTGAGCGGTTTTCTTATGTCGAAACTCCCGTACCCTCTAAGCGTAGGTTTTAGGATCTCGATATTGAGGATCAGGCTTCATCCTGTTTTCTTGAAATGCAATATCCCTAAATACCCTGTTACATACCAAAATAATTTTAGTGAATTTCTTAGAATATCGAAACAAACATCGAATTTTTTCCAATAGATTTATTTGAGGTTTTCTGTATTCTTTCCCTTAATATTTACTGAACTTGAAGCTCTTCTGACATAGGCGACCCTTACTCTTGCGCCACGGTGATCTTACAAGATTAAGGTTAGGGGTACGAGAAGTTAATTTCCCGCACACGAGATTACTGTGTGATGGATGTTCTCCCCTGGGGTGGGATTTATTGGGTGGACTACTCGCATGTGTTCCGTTCTGGTCCTACCCTACTGCGGCAATGCAGTGAAAATGGTTAGAAATATCTTCATGTCGACAATCGAGTAATATCTTTAGATGCACAAGCTCGGAGAATTTGTCCGCTAAACAAAAATTAATTCAATTGCAATCATTTGACTTTTTTAAAACAAAACAAGATATTCTTAAGAAGTTTGTAGGAACCTTTCAATGGAGATACTGTGAAATTTCTGACTGCCGTGTATTTAGTCTATTTGAGACCGCGCCCGGCTGCCGTGAATTTAGTTGCAGCGTAAAAGATTTTGTCTTCGAATCTAAGTGCTTCGCTGATTAAACGGAAAAATACTTTTCCTTCAGAGAAAAAAAAATATTTCCACATAGTTTCATGATGCGCCGATCATAGCTATTAAGATATTTCTGCATGGAAAATCATTTTTTTAAATGGCGCGCTAACCAGATGTTTATCGTCTTGTACTGTCTTTCGTAGTGTCACGGCAAGAGCTGAAAACACTGTGCTCATGGCTACAAACCAGAAATCACAAAAGAAGACAACTGAACTGTTGATCGAGTGCGAACTTCGAACTACAAAGATACTTCGAAACAAACAATAAGTAGCACCAAGAAACATCAGGTTAAACTTGGGTCAAGATCGGAATTCTATGACTACACTCTCACTCACTCATCTTGACGACATAGGCGGCATCGCCTTCTATGGGAGGCAATAGTCGCAAGAATCAATTCAAGCAAAACGAGGGAATTCGAGAATCACGTTTAATTTTCTAGTTCACGAGCCAAGTTATAATAAAACGTAAAACGCACGGAGCGAACTCTCAGTTAAACTGCGTGAATGTAGTTTCAATGGTAAAAAAGCATACCGTAAATCCTCTATTATTAAGCCCCCCTTCTCAAATAAGGCTCCCCCCTTTTCAGCGGAGGAAAGTTAATAAGCCCCCCTCCCCCTCCCCCAATCCTTATTCTTCACAAAAAAATTAACGTTTAACGTGGACTGATCAGTCATGATTTATTGAATAAAGGCTGATAGTTTCTAAAGAAACTGTTTGGGGCTGCGTCGGTGGGGGTAATGAAATAATTTGGATATATCAACAAAGTTGAAATGGTAAATTGGCCACCGTAACGATTACAAAAGCTGACGTTTCGAGCGTTAGCCCTTCGTCGGAGCGAATAGAGGAATTGTGGGCTGTGTGTGCTTTTAAAGGCAGAAAATGGAGCTACGTTATTGGTGGGAACATGGCAACGAGAAAAACATGAATAAATTAGTGGAATGAAAAGCGTTCATTGATCCCTGTGGGATTTAGACTGNTAAGGAAAGACCGTAGATTGCCGTATGTTGCTTAGAATGATTAGGTAAATTAAAATGTCTAGCGACTGGTTTCGAGAACACCTTCGAGAACAACGCTTTTCATTCCACTAATTTATTCGTGTTTTTCTTGTTCCCATGTTCCCACCAATAACGTAGTTCCATTTTCTGCCTTTAAAAGCACACACAGCCCACAATTCCTCTATTCGCTCCGACGAAGGGCTAACGCTCGAAACGTCAGCTTTTGTAATCGTTACGGTGGCCAATTTACCATTTCAACTTTGTTGATATATCCAAATTATATGATTTATTCAGGCTGGAAGTTAATATTGTTTTTGGTCTTCGGCCGTATGACCTCCAGATTCATATGCTTAACTTTCTCAACTCTGCGCTCTAGTTCTCTGTGTAGAATTGCCACCATTTTCTTATCGTTAGTCAAAACAGTGTACCGCCTGGGAACCACAAGTCCGTCCTCGAGAAACCTTGCTCCTGTCGGTGAAAATTCTAAGCTGCAACCTTCACGAGATAAAAATTTACACAGCAGAAATGATAATTCTATAGGCAAATGTCCAACTAGTTCTTGATCTTGAGAGCAGCTGGTAGACAGGCGGTAAATACCAACTGAAAATTCATCATACAGCTTTGCTTCTTCTCTTGTATCATGCTTGCACATGAGCTTTTCCCCGACTACTGGCTTCCAGACTTTTTTATAAATGTGATGACCACTCGCAACAGATTCAAACTCGCAACAGTAGAGCTGGACAAAGGATATTCCCTGAACTCTTGCCATTTTAAATTATAGCTTGGGAATAAGTCTACTCTGTCTCATACCACGGTATTTTTGCTACAGGTGATGCGTTTCGCTAAATTAAATAGGGCCCCCCTCTCTTTTAAGCCCTCCATTCTCAATTAAGCCCCCCCTCCCCCCCCCTCAAAAGTGATTGCAAAAAATTAGCCCCCCCGACGGGCTTAATAGAGGATTTACGGTAACAGAAACCTGAAAATGCTACTTCCTAGAACAGTGGTCAGTTTCCCCGTCACCTATGCAGGAGTGCAAGGCTTAGAAACTGTATTGACCTGTCTGATCATGGGTAATTTACTGTATAGTTGTGCGATGAAAGTATAAAAATCGTAGTTTTCCTAGAAACAAGACTTACGATTATTAATTGAATACTATCCCGGGAGTATTTTGTTTTCCTATCCATGCCAACGCCTTAATCTGTTTTTGTCACCATCTCATTAAACAACAACTCGCCCCCTGAGGCGCTCCAAGGATGAATTCTGCTCCTGACTTAGTTATCGGATTTCCGATCAAGTCTAACAGGAGCAAAGTCTCGTTGTACTGTAGGGCCTCAACAAACTCTTTTGCCCCTGAATCACCAACTTTGTTGTTTCTCAACTGTAGATATTGCAAAGCTTGATGCGACTTCAATGTCTGTGCTAAGGCTATAGCACCAGAACATTCAATCTTGTTGTCACTCAAATCCAAACGCTCAAGAGTGCGATTATTTTGGAGAGCCTCTGCCAGGGTGACTGCACACGATGAACTGATAGAGGTACTATGTAAATCTAAACGAGTCAACTGTGTGAGAGGAGACTGAAGGGCCTTTGAGAAAGCTGTTGCTGCTGCATTGCCGAACAGAACTTCGCTCGGGATACAGTTATTCCTTAGGTACAAATGTGTCAGAGAGGAGTTAAACTGAAGAGATTCTCCCAGTTCTGCCGCTGCTGAGTCGGTAAACAGATTCGCTTGAAGATCTAAGTAAGTCAACGAGTTGTTAGATCGAAGAGCGTGCGCCAAAGCCTTTGTACCTTCATCACCTAGAAAATCCGATTCCATGTGATTAGACCTTGATAAACCTTGATTTTGAAAACTTACGTCAAGGTACTTTAGCATTCGATTTGACTCCAATGCTTTAGAAAGTGCAACGGTTCCTTGATCACCAATACAGTTTACGCTTAAGTCTAAATACACTAGCACACTGTTGGATAGGAGACCTTGTGCTAACGCCTCTGCTTCAATATGTGTTAGATGATTGCCAGCCAAACACAAATGGGTCAAAGTGTGATTTGATTGAAGAAGACCACCAAGTGCTTTGGCACCTGTTAGGAAGGTTCCAGAACTGCTCAGCTTTAGATGAGTCACTGTGCGATTTGTCTGAAGAGCAGATGTAAGAAAAGGGTTACTTAAATCGTTGATTAAATACAAGCGCTTGAGCTCATGACATGATTGGAGCACACATCCAATTGCTGCCGAACTTAACTCGTCCCAAGATCCGACGCACCAAGAGAGGTCTTTCAGCTGGCTGTTGCATTTCAGATATTCAAACAAAATGAGAATATATTGTGGGGTGAGCGTGAACGAACATTCAGTGTCAACGATCATTTTCTCCAAAGGAAAGCAGCGTGCTAGCGTATCTGCCATTTTAATCTGGTTACGACTCAATTGACTTTCAGACTTTTCACACTGTGCAATGGTATGAATTATAGCTTCACAAAACCGTACCTCAGATTTATTTCTGAACAGCCATCTTGCTTGTATACCTTCAACCCAATCATGTGAAGCATCTCTGCAAACGTCTACAATAACATTGTCAAAACGGTGATCGCTTCCATCATTTCTATCAACATCACCGCTATCAGCATTGTCGCTATCCAATTCGTCGTCATCTTGCTGACTTTCGGAGCTGTAGTCTTCTTCACGGTCGTTCCACGCATAGATGGTTCCCATTCCGAAATAGTCCTCTTCATCGCTGTCCCAGGGATTGTCATCGCTATATTCGTCCTGCGACACATACATATCGAGGTACAGACTCTCGGGTTTTTTTTGCTGATAGCAAGCACAGAGACTCGACACTACCAAAACACTAACGTCATAACTTTCAGTTGCAGCCATTGAGATGAGAAACTCCCACACCTGCCAGTAGTTATCAATAGGATTGAGTTGAGCAAGCAGCGCGACCTTGTCACTTTCACCAGTCGCCAGATCATGAGCCAGGTGGAATGCAGCAAAATATTCCTGAAAGGTCTTGTGGGTAAACGCGTATGTTGCCTTGGGTTTCAATTTACTTGCACTGGCTTCACGAGAAAGAAAACCGAATCCAAGGAATTCTGTTGACTGACTTTTCAACTCCCATGGAGAGAAGGCTAACTGATCTTTTAGCAAAGCATCAAGAGCGAACCTGCCCAACTGATTCAGCTGATCTGAACAATGTTCGATTGGACATTTGTTGCCCAAAACGATTTTCTTACTTGAAAAATACCTCCTAAGAACACACGAGACAAGTTCACGATACAGCAGGGTTCTGTTATGAGGGAATTTTCCTTGCGAATCTTCACAAACGAGACACAACAGCGCTGTATTAAGAGGATTGACAGATAATTCGCTCAGCTTTGGGTTTCTGTCTAGACTGCTAATCAGTTTCTTAGCAAGGCTTGGATCGTCGTGATTGCTAAAATACTTCTTGATGTAACTCTCGGCATCCGCGCTGGTGTAACCAACAATCTCAAGGAGTGTGTCACAGTACTTCCGTACTTTCATTCCAGCTTCGTGTCTGGCTGTTAACAGGAGGTAAGTATTAGCAAAGACTCTTCCTTTAATCAAGGGCAACAATCCTTCAAAAAGATCTTGAGATAGTTCATCCAGTCCGTCAAGAACTAGCAAGATTCTGGATTGATTGCGGCGAATGAAATGAAAGACGTCCTCTTTCTCCTTCTCGTTTGCATCACGAGGTAGTAACTGATCATCAATAGCATCCTCGATGTTAGTAGTTTTCATGTCACGACAATTCAGTCGGAGAAGCATGTCCACTTTAGGAAAAGAAGGTTCAAGTGAAATGTCCTTCACTGACCAATCATACGCAAGTTTCTGAGAGTAAGTGGTTTTGCCCATTCCAGGTGGCCCCTCGATCAATACCACTCTTGGCTTTTCACATTGTATGTGTGGACTGAAGACATCCTTCATTTCAACAATACCCTTTGTTAACCTCGCTCTTTCTTTTTTCCTACCAACTATCTTCAGTTTAGTAAACATCTTCGAAAATTCCATTTCCAACTCTTCCTCGCACCAGGGGAACGGACACAGTACGGCGTTTTTGTAATCTCTTCTGATTAGCTGTACAAAGTTGTCTGGGTAATCTAGAGAGTAAATTAACATCATAAGCTCAGAGATAAATAAACTTCTTTCCGGTCATTGCATCGAAAAGAAGTAATAACATTACACAATATGTTCAGCGTAAGTCAGCCGAATGAGATCCTCTATTACAACAGTAATTAAATTTTAACAGATAGACTTAACAAATGTGGAACACCGTTTAAAGGATTATATACAGTAGAACAAAAAGGCAAACTGCGCATAACGGAGGATGATACAATAGAGACCTGACCATTTGTGTCATTGTGAGCAAGAATGATGACGAACTTGCCAAAACACACGCACAGTTGTAAAACAAAACAACATCGTACCATTGCAAAACCTGATGAAAGCAGAGAGGAGTGATTTTCTGTTTCTAAGCACTATGCCTAAGTAGGATTTCCCAATGAGCTTATTGCACCTTCTCTGAAAGTACAACGTTAAATTGAGCATCAACGTATTCTGAGTACGCAGAGAGAGAAATCTGCAGGTTTCAAACTCTTGATTCGCGCCAATAAGCATTACCATTGGTTTACTACAGTTCAGTGGAAGGAAGATAGTTAACAATTTACGCTACGTCAGACGAAAGCCATTTTCAATTGAAAAGCTTAGCGAAGTAGGCGATGGCGTCGTCAGCACTTTAAACCGTGCAATAGCCATTGACAAGAGGAAGGTCACTGAATCATGTAACTGAACTGTTTCCTTGCATTAGGAACTTGGGGGAAACCGTGAGCTTTGTTTACCCTAATACCGTCACGGATATATTGATAACTCAACTCAACGTTGTTTGATGTAAAATGCTAAGCAATATGTACGTTACTTAGTTCGGCTATCAATACCACTCATGGTAAACTGTTGTGCTTACAATCCGGTATTTTCCGGGGCAGAGATACAAGTATTATGCTTCTTCCGGGTTGGTAATAGCCACTCGCATTATACTGAGAACTGTTTCAAAGTTATGCGGATAGGCTTTAGCCAGATCTACATTCTATTATAAAACCACACTTCTGTTCACAGCATTTGGTTCATTAAGAGAAGCTTAACGAAATAATATTTCGGTAGATTGGCAGGGGCCCATGAAAGCAGGAGTAAAAGTAAAGTTAAATACTATTCCACGGAAAGTTGTCCGTTTCGATGCAACTCACCAGCTGGTTTGGGACTTTCAGCGCACGTAATCGCTCCGTCTGAGCCCTTGGTCTTTGCCAGGTCTTGTACTTGTTCTGAGGGAAAGAGACCACAACAAAATTGTATTTCTGGAGAATTCTTTAGTTCCTGCCAAAGTCTCATTTTAATCCTATTGTTATGAGGAGTATACTAAAACTTACGACTTGTTTGATTTAGAACGAAGTGCAGAACACAGGGTACGTGGGAGAAAGACGGAAAATCGTAAATACCATTCTGACTAAAAGCCACATTGCTTAAAATAAATATATAAACATCTGTACCTTAACCAGAGCAATAAAGTTATTGGTACTTTGTAGAATTAAAATTTGCTGAAAGTTTTTAGAGCTCCGGAGCGCGATAACGGAGACATGTTACTGTAGAAAGTAACGTGACTGATAAAGACCAGCACTTGAAAATTATGCTCTCAGTTGACACACGATGCTCACTTTTATTTTGGTACGGACGAAGGTAAGTCGAGTCACGGAGTTATGATTGGTGAACAAAACAATGGCGCTCAAAGAATGCATCGTTTGTTGTTCAAGCCGTTCTTCTTTCTCGATCAAGGCAACTCTTGTGGAGTTCCCAATAAAAAAGGTAAACAAAGTAGAACCTTCCTTGCGAAAAACTCTCAAACATAAACAGTTTCTGCGAGACAGTACACTCAGGATCTAAATGGGTAATCTCCCGATCTGGGATTTAACCAGATACGGTACAGGACTAAGGAAAACAAAATATCTTCCCCGGGAAGCGATATTCGCCAGAATGTGGGCGCTGGAGACGATATTTTTTTTGGCTTGTTGGAAACTCCGGTAAACCACACAAATTCACGTTATGGCGGTGAAGGCGAATTAACCAGACGCGGGCTTACAAGTGTCTCCTTTCATATGAAACTTTTGCCTCTTCCTGGTTAATATAATAATAATANAAGTTGTCTATGTCAACGCAGGTTAATAAAATTTGTAATTCCGCGTTTTATCACCTACATAATATTAGTAGGATTAAGAATTATTTATCTCGCGATTCGTTATTAACGCTTAATTATGCTTTTATCACTAGTCGTTTAGACTATTGTAATGGACTTTTGAATGGCCTTCCTAAGTCGCAAATAGCCAAATTGCAACGTGTACAGAATGCTACGGCTAGACTTGTACTGAGTTTAAGTAAGTATTCGCATATTTCTCCTGAGCTTTGTCAACTTCACTGGTTACCAGTACAACATCGTGTTCATTTTATGATCATAATTTTAATAATAATAATAATAATAATAATAATAATAATAATAATAATTTAATATTTATATTGCGCAAATTAACATGTGGATATGATCAAATGCGCATCACAACACTTTTCGGGGGACTTTGGCCGGACTGCATCAGCAGTTTACAAACAATCGAAGGAAACGTATTTGAAGATGCCCCCTCCACCCAGTTCCCAGTAAACGGGCCAGACCACATCACAGTAATCTCGTGAGTGGGTTCTTTAACGTTCCCTGCCTAACCAAGTTAACTAATTAATAGATACTGGAGACGGGACCTACGGTTTATTTGTCCTTATCCGAGAAGACTAGAATGCCTATCCATTTCTTGATATTATAAAAAGGTAGCGCATTCTCCTCAATTATTTTAAGACCTTGAGTGTTGGTCCGGCCGGGGCTCGAACCATCGACCTCGACCTCCCGCACAACAATCCAGCGCTCTAACCAATTGAGCTAACCGGACCAATAAGGTTAATAGTTACCTTATTGAAATAATCACCTACGCAAAAGACGAGCAACACAGCAGAGGGAATTTCGTTTCGACCGGATGCCCACCAGTTACTGACTCCATGCACAACTGCTGAAGCTCTTATTGTAATACCGAGGAGATTGTTCCCACAGTCTAACGTCTAATTATTATGGTGGTTAGTGAAGCCCCCCTTCTCACTTCATAGGTCAGTGAGAGTTCTGGTGTCAATCTTTCTCGCGACTAAAGATGAGGTAACTAACCGCAGAATAACCGCGGCGATCCACAAATAACAATTCAATTTTCCGCTAAGCGACGACAGAAAGAGCTCTAAAATATTGCAATAAGAGAACACTTCGAAAAAATCACGATGTCTCGAATCTTGAAAAGTGCGAAAAGCAGACAGTGGACAATGAAGTTATTAGACCTTCTCCCTGAGGACGCAAAATGCGTGGTAAACAACTGGGTTTGAAACTTAGTTTTTGAAGAAACCAGCTCTTTGCAAACACATATTTTGTACTTCTCCAAATGTTCGTGATGGAGATTGAGGCAGTTCTCTACAAATAACCCATTTGCAAACGGATAAAGATATATAACTACATTGGATCGGTTTTATGACAGAAAAACGCTTTTTAGGTATTTTAAAAGGCCGGTACACACGAGGGAGCTTGCTCCCGCAGCACGCTCCTGCAACAGTTACACGCCCCCGGGTAAGTACCCCAACCAGTACACACGAAGGAGCTTGCTCCCGCAGCACGCTCCTGCAACACACTCCCGGGTAAGTACCCCAACCAGTACACACGAAGGGCACGACGAGGGAGCTGAATGATGAAACAACCCGATTGGAGCATATATGGGAACTAGTTGTTATAAATCCAACATGGCGGCGAACAGCTCTGGATTGAAAAAGAAAAAACTGGTTCTTTTAATGATGATGATGCTTCAGGATATCTGTAGAGGTCTATTACTAGTCTTGTATTTGTGACACTCCATGAAGTTTCTTCGCTTTTTTTTATTGTCAATTATCTGCACAGAATCTTCCCCTACTCCTTCAGCCGCCATTTTGAAAGTAAGTTCGCAATGAGTTGTGCATGAAAAAATACGCCAGTTTGATTGGCCAACTGGAGACACGTCATTTCACGGCAAGCAAATTTCAGTACACACCAGGGAGCTTGCGCCTGCAACAGACTCGTGCAACAGATTTGCCCCTGGAGCTTGCTCCCTCATATCAAACCAGTTTGATATGAGGGAGCAAAACTCGGGAGCAAAAGTTTTGTTGCGCAACATATTTTTTCGCAAAAAATCGTTGGTGCAGACCAGGGAGCTTTGCTCCTGGAGCGTGTTTATTTAATAGCTTCGCCAACCTGCAGGGACACCGCAACAGCTTGCGCCAATTACTGCGGGCCCAATAAAACCACCCATCCTGCCCCAGGGTAGGACATCCATCACACAGTAATCTCGTGTGTGGGAAATTAACGTCTCCTACCCCAACCCTGCAGGAGACGGGACCTCCATTTATTCGTCCCTATCCGAGAAGACTAGAATATCTAACCATTTCTTGATGTTATAACAAGGCAGCAATATTTTCTCAATTATTAAGACCCCGAGTGTTGGTCCGGCCAGGGCTCGAACCCTCGACCTCCCGCACAACAGTCCAGCGCTCTATCCATTGAGCTAACCGGGAGGCGTTGCAGGAGGTGTTGCAGGGGCGTGCTGAGGGAGCAAGCTGCGAAGCAAGCTCCCTCGTGTGTACCGGCCTTAAGGGTCAAATGATTACTTTCTTCCCACGTGGTCCTACGTGTATAAGCACCTTGTAGGTGAAGCACACTGTTTTCCACAACATTCACTTTGTCCTCAACAACATTCACTTTGCCTCCCACGACATTCACTTTTTCGTCAACAACAGTCATGCAATCTTCAACAAGCTCAACGCGACTATCTGTGCTCTGCTGATTGCTCTCAAGCCTCTTAATTTTCTTTCGCATGGGTCCTACAAAATAAAGCAAGATACAGTCTCCAAATAAAAAAAATCTGTATCAAAAAATGAATAACACCAAAAAATCTATCATGTCAAAACACTTTAAACAAAGCAGTCGTCCACAAAATTTCAACGACCTGGGAAAAAAAATAAATAAAAAAAAATAACGCACCTTCGAAATCATCCAATCTGCCCTTAACAACTTCAACGTCACACTCAAGGTTCTCCACTCTTTTTTTCATCTCCTCTAGACTTGCGTCAATAGTTCTTAGCTCATTAGTGACTTTAGTCTTGTCTTCTTCATTTTCCACACACATGTTGTCCACACAAACTTGAAGAAAGTTAACTTCCTGCTGAACCAGTTGTAACAGTAATGGATCTACAGGAGAATTCTGGCAAAGAGCTGTTCCTGGTAAAATAAATGAATAGGACTTATTCAGTTAGTCAACAATCAAATCTATTAAAGAAAACTTATTGATAAAGTTCTTTTTCGAGCCACCTTATGCTGCACTTTTGTTTTGTTTTGTTTTTTTGCTTTATGGACAACCTAAAGTCTGAGGATCTACCTAACAATGCAGCATCTAACTCTAATCTTTGCCATAGACTATGTGAAGAATTATTTCAGAACGCTGAGGAAGATAAATAACTAGATATGCCTCAACTGAAAAGAAACCATTCTCCTGTACTGATTACCATAAGTTGAAGCTGAAAATAAAATTAGCAATACGGAAACAGGTTTTCCATGTATCTTTAATGCATTAGAAGGTGAGGAACAAGTGGGGGATGGCACTTATTTGAAGGGAGAGCTTGTTTAACGATATGGCTTAGGGGAGGCTCTTTGATTTTGGAGAGTTACTTTTTTTGGGGGCATAATTTGATGAATTTTTTTTTAAGCTGCATGCATTTTCCAAGCACCCATTAGTTGGACATCACAGTCCAGTACTCGCTTTCAATTTATTATTATCAAGACTTGGCCACTCCTTCATTTGGCAAATGACCATTTGGATGAGTTTGGATGGGTGTGTTCCAGGAGCCAACTAAAATGGACCAAATTCCCAGACAACTGGTAAAAAGAAATTTACAAGAAAATAGTTGTATTTCGGATCAAAAGATAATTTCACATGTATAAATTTCGCTGCAGGTTTTCCATAAAATTAATTTTCCTTTTCTTAAGCACACCCCTCTGATTTTCATACCCAGCCTAACTAAGATATGGCCAAAAGAATGGTTCCAGTAAATTTAAAATATTATGCAATTACCTTTGGTTTCCCAGTCTTTAAGTTCTCCAAGTATTTTCCCAGCACCTGATAGTGCCAAGCTCTTTACCAGTTGTTCCATGTCAGAAAAGCTCCTTGAAAAATTGGGCTGATCCCACTTGCTAAAACCACAGTGGGCCCAATCATTCCTTGTCATTCTGACTTTATCTGCTGCAGTTTGCACAGCTGGAGAGAATGCTGGAATGCGAAGAAGCAACTGTAATACAGCCGAGGCATCACAGTGGTCATCAAATGCAGTGAACTTAGCCATGAAGTTTTGCACAAACAGCCTTGCAAAGTCAACATGAGATGTAACTTGGTATTTGAAGGAGTTGTAGTCATACACACATTTCCCTTTTTTCGACTTCACCTTACAGCTATCATTGCCATTGATGTTTTCATACTTCAGTAAATCTTTAGAAGTAGTTGGCCATGCTTTGAGATAATGAGGTATGGTCTGGGTATGAATGGTGTGACTGCTCTTAACTTTGTTGTACTCCTTTCCAACCTCCTGCTCCACAAATGAACGCATCTGTGGTACAAGGATCTTGTTGAGTGCAATTCCTGCCACAAGCCATCGTTTCTGATCATTAGTCAGACAAAAGTGGCTTGGCCTTGTGTTGAAAAACAAGTAGATTTGCAATTAAAAATAAAATACTGCCAGGGATCTTGACCCAAGCATTGGGAGTTTGCAGTAAGGTATCACAGAAGGAAAATTTAATTTAGTGTTTTCACCCAAGCTGAAATGGCATGTACATTATTTGCACTATTCCTATAAAAAGATGCATTTCTTTGAAGCTTAAAATACACTGATTCCAGAAACTTGATTAATTTTAATTTAGAATTTTGACCACTAATGTAACAAATTAAAATAATGCACTTTTTAAAATCAATTCCCTTGTTTCTGATTGAAATGTGATCTGCACATATAGAACTTTAATGGGTGTCTGGAATTTGTACATGTAAATTAATGTTGTTTTTAAATTTCAAAGTAGCACTTTTGAGTAAGATTTTCAATGTAGGCACCTTACCTCAAAGAGAAAGAAAAAACACAGAAATCCAAGACATTCTTTTGGGGTTCATTATATTTCTGATATTATCTCCAAATCCAACAGAAATTAAATGAAAATTAGCCAAGAATAAACTCTTCAAAGATCAGAACTCAAGCTAAAACACTATTATATACAAAAAAAAGTGACTTGAAATTATTTAGGATATCATTGTTTGTTTACATATATGCGTTCAAGCCTGCAAAGGCTTTTATCGAATCATAATGAAGCAAGGCATTAATTGGCACAGTTTTGCCTGTTAACCATGATCCCTGCCAGAACAGAAAGAGCTGACATAGTTTGTAAGGAATTAGGACACCAAGAAAGTCAGGTGTTGATTATGGAAGGCACTTTAACCTATTGATGTCCAGTGCACCCATAAGCGCTCATGTGGACCCACACCCTTTCTATGCCTTGTGATGTCATCACTTTTAACCCTGAAGCACGACTTTGAGCATGTACTTGAACAGGTTGAAAATATCTTACAAACAATACCAGAATGAGCGCAATCGAGTGAAGGAGATTGGAGAAATAGCCAAAAAACCATGTAACTTTAACCTGAAAATCTGCACGAAAATCTCGTTCCATTACCCACCAACCTTTCTGAGCATGTGGTTTGAAAATAATGAGTAGTTTCCTAAAAAATCTCTGCATCAAAATGAAGCCTACTAAATTTCCAGCAAGTGAGTAGAAACTTTAGGCAAGGAAAGGGGAAAAAAAAGGGCAGGAGAAAGAGAGAAAAGTAAAAGTCATAAGTGGGGCATTACTTTTCAACCCATAAACCATCTCGAAATTTTGCTTTCTGTGCCTGCCCGAGATTTTCAGGCCGCCACTTTGCATTTGGGTCGAAAGGCCATCGAGTGTACAAGCTGTCAATGGGTTTGTGGTAAGTTTGAGCTTTTAGAACCACAACAGTGACCCGAAATCTGCTTGACTAGCTTCAAAACACAGTTTTTCACAAAAGCTGTGGCTATTAATGGGTTAAACAACAAGGGACGACGCAAAAAAATGGGAGATAGAAGGTCAGGCATAGGTTCAAGGGAAACACAACATTAAGCCTTTCCACGATCAAATCCTGAAGGGCAAGGCAAAGGAGGGTCTGTCCGTGAGATTTTTCATGAACTAGCCCATTTAGCAACTTTATTAGAAAAAGACTCTGGCCACTGCATCTCTTGAGTGTAATAAGAACCCTTAGCACTATCAGTAGTCAACAATATCTCTGCTCTAATACGAACTGCAAAGAAATTTTCCTTTTACTAGAATGACAAAAGAGAGTGTTGTTGCATTAACATCTTGATAACAGCACTTGAATTACAAGTTAGAAAAATCTTTTAAGCTTTCTCGAAGACAGGGATTCTTGCATTATGCGCTGGTGTGGACCCGCATAATCCGCCATTCTCCACATAATCCCGCATAATTTGTCAAATAAATCAATATATACGTTACCTATCTTGGTGTCTGGCTTGAGTATTATATTTATCCTTTTTCTACAATCGTACAAAATACCAAAGTATCGTTTTAATTTAACAAAAGAACCACATGGATATGAAGCCATTTTGTTTTTATAAAAACGACAAGGCGTTAATAAAAATGTCGGATGAGGACCTGGAACCGATATGAAGCTCGGCCCAGGTTCCAGCGTTTGGCAGTTTTCAAGATGGTGGACGTTTACAAGAATTGCTTTCTGTTTTGGCCATATTATTGCTTTTATTGGAAGGAGTCATTTATCAATAATGCATAATATTCCATTTTTTTATAAAAAGAAACAATAACTGAGTTTCTAAGCGAAGTTAGTTATATTGTAAGTTTTAAGGGATGAAGTCATCGCGCATAATTTCACTCATAATCTTCCCACAAAATCTTCCCTAAAAATCCCACATAAGTTTGATTTTTTTCACGCATAATGCCAGAATCCCTGCAAAGAGCTAAGAGGACATGCAAGTAGACTTTATAAGAAGCAACTTCAAAATTGTACAAAACTCAACCAAGCATCATTGTAAATCAATAACAGATTTGTTATTGTTAATTAGTTGACAAGAAGATGACATGAAGAGTTCATTACTACTCTCAAATTATTCTTTGCTTTATGATCTGCAGAAGTAAAAAAAAAAAAAATACCAGAATAAAATTTTCCGAAATGAATAGAGGGTCATTCCACAGTATTTTGCATGTCACGGAGGGGACAATTCAGAGGAGAATATCATGGATAGCTCCCCAGCTTAATATAATTCAGTTCACTGAAGACTTCTAATGGATAGAACAGCTAATGATTGTTTTAAATCAAACTATTTCCAAATGACTTCTTCCACATTTGGGGGGAATTAGTCATTTATTTAGATTGTCACAGAGGGGACCAGAGAAACTATGAAAACTGAAAGTTAAAATTTAATCTCAGATTTCTGTGAATGTATAA